AGATTTCCAATCTTCTTCAAACACCTCCAAAACATGGTTGTTAAATACAACAATGGTTTCTTCCGCCGACAAAAAACATTGACCACGCAATTTATTCTTGACATGCCTAATTAGGACTGCACAGCGGATAACCCATCAATTCGATTTTTTTAATGTCCAAATAGTCGGTTATTAGACAGGATGTGTGACCACTCGCATTGTCTTAATGGAGATTGATCCGACGGCACTTGTTTATTTTCCGTATTTCACTAAAGACTTCCGGTAAACAAATGGTTGTATACCAATCGGAATTGACTGTTTTACGTTTCTTTAACTCTTATAGTTGCCACATGACTAGTTTTCTCGAAAAAGCAAGCGACCATTTGTTTGGAAGTGTTTCGAACGCGAACAACTTTTGTTGGATTTGGTTCATCTTAAAACACTCATACAGTAACTGCTGTTTATGTTCCGCCTTATAATCTTGAGCATTTGTGAACACCAATTGACACGAGCACGAGTTGGGATCCCCCATCATTTTGGGGGATCCCATCATCCAATGAAAACAAACCTTTATCACGGCCAAATGATCGTGCAGTATTTTATATATGCTGGTGGAGCTAATGTAGGCTAATGCCCACACAACAACTGATTTTGGACGACCTTCACTGGCTGACGTATTTCGTCAGTGAGAGAAGTACGAACATGATTAAAATCACTGTACTAGCGTTTCACAGTGGCAAAGAATGGAGCTTCATCAACAAAAGTGGCGATGTGGAAATAAGTCAAACTTTCGTATGGAAATGTTTGTTGCCAAGAGTCAATATATAAATAGTGCCCCTCGTATAAATAATTTAACTTGTTCTTATAGGTTTGTAGTATACATTGTGACCGAAAAGTTTTCGGAAATTCTCATTTAAAATTCGCGCGCTGTATATTTTTCGATATTTTAAGTTTATGTAGTTTGGCAGCACTGTCCTTAATTACTATCCAAAAATGAGCGCGATCTGTCAACAGTTCGTTTACGGCAGCTGTTGAAACCAGTTCACCTCAGTAGTGCGTGCGAAAAAAAACAATGGAAAAAAATATTGATCAAAGAGTTTGCATCAAATTTTGTGTTTCGAACGAATTTTCGTGTGCAGAATCGTTGCGAATGCTACAAAAGGCTTATGGGGAATCAGTTTTATCGAAAACTCAAGTTTATGAGTGGTACAAAGCCTTTCAGGACTGTCGTACGACCGTCGAAGACATGCCGCGTTCTGGACGACCTTCGACCTCTACCACCGACGAAAACATTGAAAAGGCAAAGGAAATCGTGTTCAAAAATCCTCATGTGAGTGTTAGAGAGATAGCACGAGAGCTAGGCATCGGTCGTGAGATGGCTCGTTTGATTTTGGTGGACAATTTGTGTATGCGACGTGTCAACGCTCGGCTTTTTCCGATTCACCTCAATTTGTTCCAAAAACACCATCGTGGACAGGTCTCGTTAGACATGCTTGATCGTGCCAATTCCGATCCAACTTTCATGGAACGCATCATAACGGGTGACGAGACATGGGTCTACGAGTACGACATGCAAACAAGCCAACAATCATCGGAATGGAGAGGAAAAGACGAGCCGAAACCGAAAAAACCACGCCAAAGTCGCTCGAAAATCAAGGCAATGCTGATTGTTTTCTTCGATATTCGTGGTGTGGTGCATCATGAATTCGTCCCTGAAGGACAAACAGTCAATAAAGCCTATTATTTGACTGTTTTAAGACGTTTGCGTGAAAATATCCGCCGTAAACGGCCTCAATTGTGGAAGGATAATTCATGGATTTTTCATGACGATAATGCTCCCTCGCACCGAGCCAACATTATCAACGATTTTAAGGCCAAACATTCAATAAATACCATCGAACAGCCCCCGTATTCACCTGATCTTGCACCGTGTGACTTTTTCCTGTTTCCCAAACTCAAATTACCACTCAGAGGAACGCGTTTTGAATCCATAGAAGACGTAAAACAGAATTCGCAGAGGAAACTCAAAGCCATACCGGAAAGCGCCTATAAAAAATGTTTTGATGATTGGAAGAAACGTTGGCATTTGTGTATCGCTTCTAATGGAGCATATTTTGAAGGAGATAAAATAAATATTGATGAAGATTAAGAATTTTGCGTTTTATTTAAAATTTCCGGAAACTTTTCGGTCACAATGTACGTTATACGATAGACCATAATCTGTAATGATTGAATTACTATTAACATACTCATTTTACTTTTCTTTTAATAACCGTGAAAAACATAAAATCATGAAATGATTATAAATGAAGATAGACTTCGAGTGTTCTTCAGAAGATCTTTGGTCATATGGCGTTAACCACTGTATTTGAGTGAATCTTTAATGTATGAGCTTTAACCTGATATTGGTATTATTCAGCGATGACATCCCATCCAATATGTCGTGAAGATGATATAGGATGAACCCGCGAAAAAGATATTAAAAGCAATAGTTGAAGGAACAAGATCCTAAACAAAATAGCTAAAGAAATTTATTGTAAACAGTTGTTTACTGTTAACTACACAAATTCACTGTATTCACCTGTTACTTCTGTACGAATTTCGACGCTGTTATTTAGTATTCTGTTAAAATTTAACAGCCCCAAACAAGCGCTATTTTACAGTTGTAAAATCAAAAACATATTTGTGTACAGCAGGAGTAGGAGCTGAGGGCTGTGCTTTGAATTTTTTATAAATCATTTCGATCAAAAAATTAATTGTGAAAGTGATTTTTTATCCATTTTAAAAATAATCAAGGAATAAAATAAGATTTTGCAGAAAATCATTGCAATTTGCTTTTTCCAGAAATTGCCTAAAAGTGTTGATTAACGAATTTTTGGTGAAAATTAAGAATCGAAATTGTATTGAAATAGAATTCATTATAATTGTAATGAGAGTTAATTGCTATTTAAGTACCACTAAACCCAATAATAATAATTAAACTAATTATACTTTTATTGTCAATTGATTTTATGGCTTAAAACGTTTTTAAATTCGAATAGTTTAAACGCGACTTGAATTGATTAATTCAATCGTTTATTGAATTAAACGCGTTATGGCGTTTAGAGTTGATGAAAAACTTATTATTCTCTGTAAACCCAACCCAAATTAATAGTGTAAACAGTGCTTCCGGCTATTATTTAAGGCAAGATGCATTGCTTTAAATATTTATAAATATTAATAACATATAATTTATGCATCTTTAATGATAATTTAATTCAAATAATTAAAAATAAAAAATTTTATTTTTAAAATGAAATTTACATAAAAATAAAGTATCCAGACAATTTTTGAATAATATTTGGAAAGAATTTAGATACATATTTGTATATAAACATCAATTCATCTTCGACTGTGTTTTGAAATGACCATTACCTGTTACCACTTACTAAAATTATTTAATGTCGTCGCCAAAATCACTGGATAGAATATTTATAATTATAAGGTACGTCAGAGACGATTTTCATTTAGCTGAATTTATAAAAACTCATTGATAGAATCAATTAATAGAGTAGATCAGCGATTTTTTAACCTTTTTACAGAGTTGTAAATATTTTAAAATATTAAAATATTTTAAATATATTTTAATATAAATATTTTAAATATTTTAATAAAAATATTTGGCCAGATTGAACGCTCTGTCGATATGGATGAAATAGTAGAAGAATTAGTGGAATTAGCGAAACAAACCGGTTCAGATAAGGTAAATGTGGAAAACGTCGTAGAAATAGTTCAAGAAACAGCAGTTAGTCTTTCTAATGATGAGTTCAAGGAACTAACTGAGCAAGAAGAAAACAAAAATATTGATAGTAGTGATTACGAAGAAGAGCAAAAAGGTTTTCGATGGTGTTTGACCATTACAACTGAAATAATGGACCAATTTATTGAAAATGATCCAAATTTTGCTTTATCTACTTACCAACAACTTCTAACAGAACGCAAAAGGAAAATACAAATTACATTAGATGCCTTCTTGACAAAAAGGCAGAAAATTGGAAACATAGAATAGACTGGATGATCTGACTGACTTAAAATTTTATTTGTTTTTATATATATTCGTTTACATTGTTTTTGTGAGAAATAAATATTTAGTTTTATTATTATTAAAAAAAAACATAATTATTAAATTAAATACCTAATCAATTTTCTATCAATCTATAACCCTATTATTTACATGTTAAGATAACCTCGTTTAGCGCTCTTTCGCATTACGCTCTATTTTGATGGAACGTATCCTACGCGTTAAGCTAGGTCTTACTGTAGTCTATGAAAATTGAACAACTGCAGCAACCCAAAATTTATAACAGATTTGTAATTGTCAATTTAGTTAGACATTATCATTTTTATATTGATTTTCAAACTAACTTATTAAACGTTTATAACATTAATAAAGTTTAAAATATTTTTAATATATATGATTAATCACTAGAGTAAAGCTATCATAGATATCTAGTAATACTTTTTTAAAAAATGAATTTTGGCAGGTGGAGTCATCTTAAATCATCATTTTAGATAATATGTTAATGATATTTTTAATACACTTGATACAATTTGAATGCATAGGTTTTTTTTTAAAAATATCAACTTAACTTAATACTTAAGTAGGTTGGAAATGTGCGATTTAGACGTTTTTTGTATCCAATTTACAAATTTACTTAACTTGTTTACTTAACTTTTAATAAGAAAATGTTTATTTTTTTAAATTAAAAATCTATATTAAATAATTTATTCTAACAGTTTCTCATATGTTGGCTAATATTTCGTACATGCGATGTATTATAGGTATATACATACATACATATGTACATTACATTCAGCTCTTAAAAATAGTTCAGATACTGGAGGGCATCTCAATATTGCGGCTTTCAAAGGTGTTAACTAAAATGGCAGTTATTAACAGCAATCGTGTTAACATTTTAGTAATGTTAGTAAGAATAGTGTAAGGTAGGAAAAGTTCATTAACAATAAATTCGCTGTTAATAATGGGGGATAAAGCTGTGAGAATTGCGGCATATATTCTACGTTATGTTAAAGAGAATTTTTCTTGGTTTAAATTTACAGCTGATTTACAAGTTGATGCTGTTGCTGTTCACGTTACTGTAGAACGGGAAATACGGCCAGCACGTGCGTGAGAAGCTTTTATTATGCGTAGAGCTTTAACATTTGCAAATAAATATAAGCGCTGCGTTGAAGTACAATATATATGCATATACCTACATATGTTATATTGCGTATCATGTTTTTAAAGAAATGCCAACAAACGGCATTTTCAATTTCGTTGAGCACGTTAACATAACATAAAAAGTAGTCGTTGCTGTTTACATATCTGTCGTTCTGTTGTAGTGTTGTGCAGTTCTGCTGTTGTGCTGTTGTTGGGGATAACAACTCGATGTGAATGATTCGGATTCGATTTCAGTTGTACATTTGACTTCGTCCAGTTAAGAACAAAGAGCGAAGAACGCTGCATGTATTATAAGAAAAGTGTTGTGCACAAAGGCAGTTAAAAGCTTGGTACATAATATAAGTTCAAACATCTATATGCATATATATATGTTGGTATATAGTTTGGCATTTTAAACCTTAAACCTGTAACTAAGGCGCCCTTTATTCACAACAAAATAAGTAACAAAATTATGACGTGAAATTTTTTAGCACATCACACTTTACAGTTTTATGACGATTTGTTTTTAATACATATGTTAAAATATTTCTGAAAGAGTGGAAAAAGGGAAAAAAGGAAAAAGGAGAAAAGGATGAAAGTAGAACAGTGAATGTGTTGTGAAAATCGGAAGAAAATAAACTCATTACCCTCTTAATGCTCTAAATAAGTTGATTATTAATCAATAATAATAAAAATTTTACTGGAAAAAACTATTTTCCAAAGCGTTAAGAATCGTTTAAAAAGTGAAATAATTGCATTTTAACATTCTTTTAACAATTTTTACGGTAGAAAACTAAATTAATATTTAGTTTTTTCTTATTTTTTCACGAAGCGCACTAAAATATTGTTAAAGGAAAAAATAAAAGAAAAAAATAAAAAAAGGCTATTTACCTTTCCTTTATTTGTGTTCGTTTGGACGGTATTTGTAAAAACAGAGAGGACGGGAGGTAAGTTTACATGCAATCGTTAAGTAAATTTTGTTAAAATGATTTTTAGAAAAAAATGTACTTCGGTAGCAGATACATGACCTCTAAAATAATTCTGGCTGCGGTAGGACATGAAACGTAACGCAAAAATTCCTTCACATAAAATTGAATATTTTCTGGAATTACCCGACTTTTCAGGATACACATTTAATGTCGTGTACGAGTACTTGAAGCTCGCAATGTGGAACTTTTTCTCATTAAAAGATTATCGCTGTCTTCCTTTATGTGCTTCTATGTATCTAAGCTTCTGTATTTCTGCTTATGTGGTTGGGTTGTGCGTCCGCTGTGCATTTTCATTATCCGGAAGACAAATTATAAATCTGTCGACTTTGAAATTGTTTTGATGTGAGAAGAATAGTCGTTACTTTTGCTGTTATAAATTTTTATATTCAATAAAATCAACATATCAAACTCCAGTCACTCTAATTTGATGTTAATTATTAGTCAATTTTTTTTATTTATAAAACTTATGATGGTTTATACGTTAGTTATAACTTAAAATTTATAATTTTTCTTCTAATCTAATGGGCTTCGAACTTCGATCCTTTTGTTAGATGGTTATTCACTTAATATCGGGGATTAAAGTATTCTTAATTATTCAATGGGTTTCTTCTTATCGTTTTGTTGGATGCTCATTTATTTAAAACCGGTAGTGTACATTACTGTTTGAAGTAATACAGTGTGTTGACACTACATCATTTAACTCGTCGAAGGTGCAGTTAAAAGTGCCAGTTTCTATACAAAATCCATACAAAAATGTACTATTGAGGTTTACTAATTATGTAAGTGTAAATGCACTATGAGATTACAATGTGTTCAAAGAGAGGATATCTCTTTGATCCTTTTGTTGAATGCTTATTCATTAATATTGGAGAGTAGATTAATCTTTGGAGAGTTATAATAAGTTATTCAATGAGATTCTTTTTCTTCTTTTGTTGGTTGCTCATTCGTTTAAAACCGGAAAATACATTATTGTTTGAAGAAACATTATTGTACGTTGACACTATAGCAATTAACTCGGCGAAGGTGCAGTTATAAACGCAATTTGTCATACAATATCCATACAAAAATGTTCTAATGAGGTTTACTAATTCTGTAAGTGTAAATGCACTATGAGATTACAAGTGGTGTTCAAAGAGATATATTTATTGTTCTTGTTGTTATTATAGGTTTACTTTGATCCTTTTATTGGATGCTTATTCATTAATATTGGAGAGTAGATTAATCTTTAAAGAGTTATAGTACGTCATGTAATAGGTTCCTGTTAATCTTTTTGGTTGATGCTTATTTACTCAATATCGGAGATTAAATTAATATTTTGAGAGTTATAGCATGTTCACACTATCGCAATTAACTTGTCAAAAGTGCTGTAATAAATGCCTTTTTTTCAACAAAATCCATATAAATATGATATATTGAGATCAGATAATTCTGAATGTAAACGTTAGAATACAAGTGGTGGTCTGTGAAATAACATATATTAGGGATATTAGCGAAATTTAAACTTGCTTCAGCTTAAATCGCAATAAACTTATAAATTAAGTTGATTTTACACCAATTTTTTCAAATATAATTAAGTAAAATAATTTTTAGAATATCTATGAGTTTACTTTTTTCATATATTTTTGTTTTTTAAAGAGTTTATGTGAATCTTTAAAATAAAAAAACTTATAAATTTGTTTTTAATTTCATTTTTATTTTATATAGTTATACATATATGAAAATATAGCTTTTTGACTTTTTACTCAATTACTTCGTCCTGAGGAAGAAGCCAAATAAACTCCAAAATTTTGGCGATATTTATATAGATAACTATATAAAATAAATAGAAATAACCAATTTATAAGTTTAAAGATACGCATAAGCCTTTTTTAAAAACTGTAATAAAATATATTGTCAGCGTTTATATTCAAATATTACAAAAAGTTTCTTACTCAACAGTATGTTGTATTAAATAAGGAATAACACCTCTTAATATTATCTAATATATCCCGGGAAGAATGACGTCTTTTACTTGTAGCAAGGACTGAGATCAGCTCAATTGAGATCTGGATATAGCAGTTAGTTGTCACGCAGAAATCTATCAATTCCCTACGGGATAGAACAACAACAACAACCTGTTTATGTTTAACACTCTCTATATTTATATGATAGCTTTTCGATACTTCCATGATTGTAAAACAGGTTAGGGAGGAAAAATATAAATTGTGGCATTGTGATTTCTTTTAAATATTTTTAAAAAAGTAATTGTTAGGTACCATAATTGGGATCATCTTCAGCACTCTTCTTCTATTTACACTTAATCATATTTAGTTTGTGTTTTATAGGAAGAATTTAATTCTCATTCCTTATATAATATATCACGGGCAACAGTTTTATACTTTGAAGAAGTTGGTAGAAGACTTATAGGTATATATACTATAACATGATGCAGCCAAAATTCATTATATGTTTTTAAAATTAATTTTATTTATGACACATACTCATTAAAAGGAATGTATCCAAAGTTGAGAATCACGTTAAGCGATGCGCGAAAATCGTTTTGAACGAATTGAATATTCTTTAAAAGGAAATTGAACTGGCCAGGGTCTAAATTTTGAAATATAGTTGTTGTTACACAGATCCGAAAGATTGGTTATGTGGTTAATGGAAAATAATTTTTTTTCGCTATTTCATCAAACTATTAAACTATTAACATTTTCAACAGTCACAAAATAAGAAATTATGATAATGGTGATTCCCCGTTTTCTATTTTTCAGTTTCAGTTTTCAGTTATTTTGTTCATCATAAATGTACGTGCAAAAAATTACAAAAACAAACTCTGTAATTAGACCCTTAAGCTCAAGTGCATTTTACATAGAGCATAGTCGTGATGTGGTGCATTCCAATTTGTAAATGTAACATCATTTACAGTCAACAAAAAGCACTTCAGAATATAACAAAAAAGTTGGTGTAAAATAAACACTGAGAAGATCTAAATAAAAATATACAATATAATATAAAATATTGACTATGAAATTTTTGTCTTAAAACGGAAGTGCTATTGACTAAGCATTATTATATATTCGCCAGATTTGTTGTTTTTTATTTATTTATAACATAAATATAACTACTTTAGCTTTTGATCAAATTAATTTCAATTTTTCGAACTATGAACTATTTTCAATGTCTCTGAGATTTTCTTGTTTTTATTATACAACATTGGATATTTTTTATTAGGTGTAGGATTACAACTCACAAAAAAAAATACAATTTGAGCAAATATTTTATTATTCGATGGACTATTTTATGGCATTTATGATGAAATACGATTCCGTTCAATTAGCTGTAATCGACTCTTTTTAGAAATTGTAGCTGAAAGTAATTTTTGCTGAACTTTTCAAACATACATTGTGACCGAAAAGTTTCCGGTCACAATGTACAAACGCAAAATTCTTAATCTTCATCAATATTTATTTTATCTCCTTCAAAATATGCTCCATTAGAAGCGATACACAAATGCCAACGTTTCTTCCAATCATCAAAACATTTTTTATAGTCGCTTTCCGGTATGGCTTTGAGTTCCCTCTGCGAATTCTGTTTTACGTCTTCTATGGATTCAAAACGCGTTCCTCTGAGTGGTAATTTGAGTTTGGGAAACAGGAAAAAATCACACGGTGCAAGATCAGGTGAATACGGTGGCTGTTCGATGGTATTTATTGAATGTTTGGCCTTAAAATCGTTGATAATGTTGGCTCGGTGCGAGGGAGCATTATCGTCATTAAAAATCCATGAATTATCCTTCCACAATTGAGGCCTAGTGGTGCTTAGACCGAGCCTAGCTCTCGGCTATCATCTCTATACATCACATGAGTGATTTTGGAACTTACGATTTTCCTTTGCTTTTCAATAGTTTTCGTCTGGTGGTAGTAGGTCGTAAGGTCGTCCAGAACGCGGCATGTCTTCGACGGTCGTACGACCGTCCTGAAAGGCTTTGT